GGTTCAGGCAATTCTCCTGCCTCAGCCTCCTGAGTAGCTGGGATTACAGGAACGAGCCACCATGCCCAGCTAATTTTTTGCATTTTTAGTAGAGACGGGGTTTCACCATGTTGACCAGGATGGTCTCGATCTCTTGACCTCGTGATCCACCTGCCTCGGCCTCCCAAAGTGCTGGGATTACAGGCTTGAGCCACCGCGCCCGGCGATTTGACTCTCTTTAAGTCTGTTATTGTTGTATAGGAATGCTTGTGATTTTTGCACATTGATTTTGTATCCTGAGACTTTGCTGAAGTTGCTTATCAGTTTCAGGAGATTTGGGGCTGAGACGATGGGGTCTTCTAAATATACAATCATGTCGTCTGCAAATAGAGACAATTTGACTTCCTCCTTTCCTAATTAAATACTGTTTATTTCTTTTTCTTGCCTGATTGCTCTGGCTAGAACTTCCAGTACTCTATTGAGTAGGAGTGGTGAGAGAGGATATCCTTGTCTAGTGCCAGATTTCAAAGGGAATGCTTCCAGTTTTTGCCCATTCAGTATGATATTGGCTGTGGGTTTGTCATAAATAACTTTTATTTTGAGATATGTTCCATCAATACCTAGTTTATTCAGAGTTTTTAGCATAAAGGGCTGTTGAATTTTGTCGAAGGACTTCTCTGAATATATTGAGATAATAATGTGGTTTTTGTCTTTGGTCCTGTTTATGTGGTGAATTACATTTATAGACTTGCATATGTTGAACCAGCCATGCATCCCTGGGATGAATCCTACTTGATCGTGATGGATAAGCTTTTTGATGTGCTGTTGCAGTTGGTTTGCCAGTATTTTATTGAAGATTCTTGCATCTATGTTCATCATGGATATTGGCCTGAAGTTTTCTTTTCTTGTTGAGTCTCTGCCGGGTTTTGGTATCAAGATGATGTTGATCTCATAAAACTACTTGGGAAGGATTCCCTCTTTTTGGATTGTTTGGAATAGTTTCAGAAGGAGTGGTACCAGTTCCTCTTTGTATGTCTGGTAGAATTTAGCTATGAACCCATCTGGACCTGGCCTTTTTT